GGGGTGGGGGGGTTTGTTTCCGCTTCTGACAGAGTCAGTCACCTATAGCAGCTAAAGGATTTATAATAAAACTGATGAAACCCCGCCTCCTCTGCAGTTCAATCCGTCCAACTCGGCGCTGCAAAATGCCAGCTGACGACTGATTCTTGAACGTCCAAACTGTGGTTAAAACCAGCTTTATTACGGAAACACAACCAAGCACATTCAAACTGTTTCCTCCATTGAAAGCTATAGTTTTGCAGCGGCGAAAGAAAGTAACTGTGGGCAAGACTATTTCAGGCTAAAAACTGGCCAATAAAAGTTTGCACTAATGTGTTTTCCATATGTGGCGTCCACTGCTGAGAATCTAATCTCTGTGGCCAAGACTGAGGAAACTCCAGCTCTGTGTGTCTCTGTGCAGGTCTGACCGAACCAATGGTCCAGTTTCCAAACAACGAGGTCATTCATCTGAGTCATTCTCTTCTCATAAACAGCATTTCTGCAGAGGAGGACTGTGACATCAACACTCCCACTACCGCTCAGGCATGTCTGATCATTCCTCATCACCTCACAAACACTCACAGCCAGATCATCTGCTCAATGAGCTGGACTGCAAACAAGCTCCACTTACAAATAAAGGCCTAATCCCCCGCTCAATGTGTCAGAACTGTGTTTGAACCTGATCTTCAGGAAGCCTGTCAATTTAAAAAGGCCTTTAACAATCATCAGCAGAATGAAAGGATTAGTCATTTCCAATTTATTCAGAAGACGAAACAAAACATCCTTTTTTCAGTCATTCCTGAAATGTTTTCTGTCCTTCAAGTACGATTTATTTGTGAGCTTTGCCTTTCTTTCTCTGATAAAAAGCAAATTGTACATGTTACAACAGGATGGATAGCATGTTGCTAAAACAAGAATGTTCTGACTTTAAAGATTCAGCAGCGGTATTCCTGAGTTTGGAGCTAAAAATACAAAGTTTCAACGTAAAATAACCCCCGAACACATCACAATGACATCATCAGTGTTTCCCAGAACGATCACACAGCCTACAGAAACGCCCAGTTTAAAAAAAAAAGTCAAAATAGTTGAAAAACACAGCACAAAGCAATACACAGCAAGAAAAGCAAATAAGTGATTTGCACTGTTTACGAGGGAAAGCACCCCACCTGCCCTGATGGACGGGCCGCGCCTGTCCAGATGAGTAAACTCATGTCAGCGGTGACTCTGTCTTTTATCAACAGGGAGAAAACACAGAACTGGTTTAACGTGACACACACACACACACACACACACACACACACACACACACACACACACACACACACAC